TGCCAGGCATATTCCTGAACCACATCATGACAACACTGGACACCCACGAATTGCATTCAGTACACCTCCTAATTAAAAAACAAAAAGCAAAAACCTCCCCCTTGGTAGTGATTGTCCTTCCCCAGCCCCATGCTTGTGCAACAGGGCCTCAAACCTCTGTGCCTCCGTTCTTCCTGCATAATGGTTCGGCGCTCTTGTCAATGGAGCTTGTGGAGAATCGGGTGTCAGGACCCGGCCCAGGGCAGGTGAAGTGAAAGGCGTGTTCTGGAAACTTGCTTCCTGGTGCTCTGCGATTCAGATGGCAGTGTTGGGATTGTCCCACCTTCTCCCAGCTCTCTTCTGCATCTGACCTCACCGTCCGGCATGTTAGGCTTAGGTACTCTTCAGCCTAGGGCAGAGGGGCAGGACCCTGAATGAAGCTCCCAAAAGCACAACGACTGGCCTGCTGACCCAGTCTGGCCTCCGTCACGGGCACCCAGGAACGGAACCCAGAGCCTCATCACGGTCTGCTGGGCCTGGGAGGCAGCTAGGGAACAGCAGGGAGAACCCAAGCAAAGAATCTCACTGGCCACTTGAGAGAACTTGAGTGTTTGTGATTTTAGATCCCCATGAGTGTTAGTGACATTCACAGGGAAAGAGTGCTGGGTAAATGGAAGATAACTTCCAGAATAGTCCAGAACAGATGTCTCCGCACCAAACTGCTGCAGTATTGGAGACCGTGACCTCCACAGAGCTCATCCCTTCCAGCAGCCAAGGGACATTCTGTTCCTGCCTGGGAGAGGAATTAGTAATGAGGGACAGAATGTTCCTTTGTAGTCCATCAAGTAAGCCAAGTGGGAGGAAACAGATTCAGAACGGGGGTACTCAGCAATTTCACGGCAACCATTTGAGCATCAACATTGCTTTCGCTGCTGCCTGCCCACCAAAAGACTCTGTTCTGGTGGATTCTTTGCATACTGAGCACTGTGCCATTTGCTTTCGCTGGAGAAGGTGTGCCCACACATCCAGTGGCCAAGAACATTGATTGTTCTTTTGAAAAACTCCTCACCTGCTTTTAGCACTGTGTTTCTGTCAAAAAAAAAAAAAAATGTTGAGACCTTTTCCTATAAAAGATACCAGTGAGTGCAGAGGAGAACCTAAATAATCAAGATGATTAAAACTTCCTGGCAGGCATTAGCTACCAAGGAGACCAAAGAAAACAATCGCTTAGAGTTTCACCATCAGTTGGAAATAGGCTTCGCCTTGCTCAGTATATTTGAAATCTTTGTTAGCTGTTTTTGCCTCAAAGCTTTTTGATTTTTTCTTCTTTTTTTTTTGGGGGGGGTCTAATAATAAAGCTTGAAGAAGATTAACATCAACTACTTGGAAGTTTGTTTTGCTTTATTCACTCATCTTGCTTACTGTGGTGCCTAAGCAGCCACAGGTGCCCGGGTCAGGTTTCACTGATTTTATTCCAAGTCTGGATGTACAAAGACCTGCGACATGGTGTGATGTTAAGCTTCACCCTGGACATGTTTTTCATTTGTTTTTCCAAGCATGAAAGTCAACATTTCAACTTAGTTTTAAAAGCAAATAACTGTAAAATGCATCTTGAAATGGGAGTACTTATCTTCCCAGAATTTTCTCTTATTCTTACGGGAACATGTGTTTCACTGGAGTGAACATCTTTTTACTAAAGGGTAGCCCAAAATATGCCACTATGGCATAAGGATTACTTTGAGCTAAAGGCATTTTCAAAACACCAGATCCAAGGGTATTTTAATCTTTTCTTCCTGAAAATAGGAGCTAAACTCCATGTGAGACATGCCTTTCCTGAACTAGGAGAAAAACATCATTGGATAGGGAGTCACAGCTGAGAGAATTCTGTGCACACGGCCTTGTCAAAATGATTCTGTTCCCTCCGTCTCCTCATCAAACTTATTTTGCTGCAATTACAGCTGTTCGTTCAACCAAGTATGAAAGTACTGAAAGTTCAAGTGCTTAGGCCTTGTCGCATCTTTGGGTCTTCATTTTCATGCCAGGGCTGCTGTGTTGCTCTTGTATAAAATGTACACAGGTGGGGTACCTTTAATATAAAATCCAAGATGCTGCAACATCATGGTCAGGTGGAAAATGACGCACCTGACCTCAAGTGACAGTGTAGAATGCAGATTCAGTATTAAGTTACCTTCAGGCCATGTGCATAAAGTGTTTGTGGAACACAAGGGAATTTCATGTCCCATGCCAGTGGGCTCTCATAATGTATTCCCAAATCTGAAAAGTCTGGAATCTAAAATAAAATACTTCTTGTGCCAAACATTTTATATGAGACTCTGAACCTGAATTAACATTGTGTGCTTTCATCCTAGCGATCCACTTTATTTCAATTTAATTTCCAGACTCAGCTGGAAACACCAGTGATAGAGGTAAATTCTTGCATTTCCTACAACTCTATACAACTTATGTAGTCCTCTGATATTTTCCACAACATAAATGACTGGAAGGAAGCCAGTTATTATCAACCACCCTGCCAGGTCCCATGCTGGGTACTTGGCAGCCCCATCTGAATTCCCCTGAAGCCAAGATTGGTATTCTCAATAGGATAGTTTGAAAACTAAAAATGGGTAGTGTCGATAGCTTTGCTAGCATCTGCTTCCAAAAGCCCTGAGCTTTTCAAGGGCAGCAGGGATGTATGCTCTGAGTGCAAGCAAGAGCCTGGTCCCCGGAGGCAGACTGGGCTTAGCTCCCAGAACCACCACTTCACTTTCTGTAGGATCTCAAAAGCACTAATTCTAAAAGAAACATAAATACACATGCCTCAAAGTGTTGCCTGAAAGCCACGCAGAGTAAGGTCTGATCCACAGGTAACCACTTAGCATTATCTGCTGTTATGGTTGCTTCTCCCCTGAGACGCTACAGCTGCCGGTGGTGATCAAGTGGTGGCAGGTGGGTTGGGTTATCTCTGCACGGGGTCCCTAAGCTCCCGCTTCATCGCATCGCTCTTACGCCTGTATTTTCCTACCAGCATCCTTCTGGACAGAGCTGTGGGGCTGTGCCTTTCCCTTTCTTTTGAGGAGTGCCCGGCGGCTGCGAGGCTGCGAGGCTGCCGCAGGGCACAGCTAATCTTCACGTTGGTTACCAAGCAGCCTGACTGCTGGGCTCTTGGTAATTGGAGTATCTTAACAAAACAGGCGAGCCCAACTGTGGGTCACAGGTTTTCTCTCTTTCCCAAATTCTCCCCCTCTGTCTTGGTTGCTGAACTCTGACTCCAGGTAGAAGTGATGGCTCTTCGGGGACAAAATAGCCAGAATTCTAGGTTGCAGGGGGCTTCTTTGAACTCAAGTACCAGTTTTAAGTTGCTAGGAAACTCAGATGAATTCTCTGCCTTAAAACACGTTATGATTTCCTAGGCCCGTTAGTCCTCCGGGTTGGGTCTTTAAGGAACAGAATTGCCCTTGGCTCACAGTTGCAGGAACTCGGAAGTCCAAGGTCGAAGGCCTGTGTGTGGTGAAGTTGCCCTGCAGTGGGAGTGCAGCGCTGAGAGCCAGTCACCTTGTCCAATCAGCAGAGGCTTCCAGACCGCATCATCCCCAACACTGTTGCATCAAGTGGGGTTAAGTGTGTCCTCCTGCAATGAATTGGGGGGCATGTGTTCAAGCCGCAGCAGCGCGCCCCCATCATGAAGATGCTCGAGGACCTACCGGTGGGATTTAAGGCCAAAGAGAGTTACTGCTCACAGCTCACATTTGATCATAGCGGCACTGCAACGTGGATTACGACCAGTGCCATTATCAGATTGCATTTTCATAGTGAATTATAAACAAGAAAAAATTTTTATGAGCCTCACATTTCGGTGAAATGTTAATCAGGTTGTGTTTTGGTGCTGTTATTCAAATAATGTGTTTGGAATTGCTTCCCTCTGCATATATTTGCATTAAAGAGGAACTCAATTTGATTTAGTTGCTTTAGAAGTTTACCCACTTCAGTAGCTTTAAAAAGACAGAGGGAAATGGAGGTTGTATGTGCGTGTGTGTGAAGAAACACATTGGCAAGGACCTGTAGGAGCGTCAGCGCATTGCTGAGGGTAATGGAATCACTCCTTCTGGCGTTTCGAGTTGCACAATTAAAAATGTCTATAATCCGCGCCCATCCCGGCGGTGGGCAGTGCTCTCTGCTGTGGCCCCCAGGCGGGGATAATGACGATTAGGGGATCCTAGAGTTCCCCTCCACCGCAGGTCCTGATCAGCAGTGAAGTCCCAGTTCCATGGGAATCTGTCTAGAGCATATGTTTCTCTGCACGTGGCTTCATTCCCCCCCCCCCCAACTCCCATTTCTGGTACAAGTGTGGCTGCAGTGGCCACCCGAGTTGGTGGGTTTCTGAAAACATCAGGCTCTAGACCCGAGCTAGTGTGCTCATCCGGCACCTGCCTGTTGCAGCAGGCTGTCTCGGGCTGCTGTGCTTCCCTGCAGAAACTATCCTTGCAGCGCGAAGCACAAGCCTGCCTGTGTGGAAAGTGCGGCAAGTGTTGCAAACTTTCAGACTCCAAGGGGCATCAGAGAAAAGCGGATGGTGGCAGTGCTTGGCGGAGCTGGGCTTCAGCAGGGGAAGGGGGGAAGGGACGCGTTCGATCCTGTGTCCACACGGTTTGGTAAAAACTAATGACCCTTTGCCTTCCCTCCGCTGTAACACCATTCCGGACCTTAAATCTCTTAGTACCGCCTGCACCCCTCGCCCGCCCAGAATTGAGCCGCACACTGGATCGGGACGTTGGTTCTCGGTTTCTAGCTGTTGGGTTAGTAAGAACTGGATTAGGACGTTGGTTCTCGGTTTGTGTCTGTTGGGTTAGTAAGAACGACATTTTAACCACAGAAAAAGCATCCCTGTCAGCCGTGAGGCCGCCCGGCGTCGCCCCCGTGACGCAGCACGCACGCCCCGTGGCCACGCCCCGGCCGCAGAGCCGCGCATGCGCGCGTCGCGCCGGTCCCGCGTCGCCGGCGCTTCCGGCCGTTGGGGCTCCGACATGTCGCAGAAGCCGCGGAGCCGCGGCCGGCCCGGCAGCCAGCCCGGCAGCCAGCACGAGCGCGACCGGAGCCGGGACGGGGCCCGCGGCGCCGCCGACGAGGCCCCGAGCACGTCCCGCGGGTTTCCTGGCAGCAGCGGCTCGCTGCGGAGCCCGAAGCAGCTGGAGCTCAAGGTGGCGGAGCTGGTGCAGTTCCTGCTGGTGAAGGACCAGAAGAAGATCCCGGTGAAGCGCGCCGACATGATGCGGCACGTGGTGGGCGAGGCCCGGGACACGTTCCCGGAGCTGCTGCGGCTGGCGGGCGAGCGGCTGCGGGACGTGTTCGGCTACCGGCTGGTGGAGCTGGAGCCCCGCAGCCACGCGTACATCCTGGTGAACGCGCTGGAGCCGGTGGAGGAGGACGCCGAGGTGCGCGGCGACCAGGGCACGCCCACCACGGGCCTGCTGATGATCCTGCTGGGACTCATCTTCATGAAGGGCAACACGGTCAAGGAGACGGAGGTGTGGGACTTCCTGCGCCGCCTGGGCGTGCACCCCACCAAGAGGCACCTCGTCTTCGGGGACCCCAAGAAGCTCATCACCGAAGACTTCGTGCGGCAGCGTTATCTGGACTACCGGCGGATCCCGCACACGGACCCCGTGGACTACGAGCTGCAGTGGGGCCCGCGCACCCGCCTGGAGACGAGCAAGATGAAAGTGCTCAAGTTCGTGGCCAAAGTGCACAACCAGGACCCCAAGGACTGGCCGGCGCAGTACTGCGAGGCCCTGGCGGAGGAGGAGGGCAGGGCCCGGCCCGCGCAGCCCGGGGGGCCGGCGCCCACTTCCTGAAAGCGCTGCCGCGCTGGGGACACTCTGATCGTTGTAATTGGTTGTGGGGTTTGAGTTCCACATTGCCGTTTGTAAACACGTTTATAGGATTATTATTCTGGCTTTGTAAAAACTAGTACAGTTGCACTGTGGTCGGAGAAAAAGCACACGAAGTATGTTACTTGGGTGCCAACAAAGTAAAAGCAGAGAAGTCACTTTTTTCTTTTCCCTCACTGCCCCCATTTGTAAGGAAAAATAAAGTTTTTTGTAAAGTTAAAAATGTAACTTCTACATCCTTGTCACATTTTTAACGTATTTTTATATATTCCCTACGTAGGGAGTCCTTGCGCGTGATTCCAAGCAGAGAACATCCTATTTTGCAGATAACGGTTTTATGATAGTACCCGTAACTCTGCCGTGGTGCACCGAGTCTTCCCTCTTTTATTTCAACTGAGGGTGTTGTGACAACTCTTGTCTGGAAGCAGTTGACACGCCTTGATTTGAAATTGTGGGTGGGAGAAAAGTTCATGACTCGAAAGGATGCTAAAAGCGTTTGCGGTGTGTTCAGCTAATAGTTGTTCTGTACAAGCTGTTCTCTTTGCTGCATAATCATGGGAACCGATGGTAAAATTCCTTTCTCCCTCCATGTCCCTGAAATTGTAACATGTGAACACGGTGGCTAAGCCCCCCGCCTGGCTGCTGCCTGCCTGCTGTGTAGTTGATGTGGATTCCGGGGCTCCCTAGCTTGTTGGGTGGCAGTCCCCCAGCCCATCCTGGAAGATGTTCACTAGAACACAAGTTTGCGCCTTTTAAAATTGAAATCTGTTTTGTTTTTGTCTGGGTCTGAAGCTGCTACTTCTTCTGTCAGTTAAGTTCTGCTAAATGACTCCTGGAGCCATCACCGGTTCCGAAAAGACTGTTCTGGTATTGACCTTGACGCGGTTTTGTAGAGAAACCTCCGGTTTTCTAAGTCAGAACCAGGAGAGCTGAGGGTCTTCCTGGCTGCTGCAGGGCATTTATCAGCCTTTCAGAAAGTTTGAGAACATGATGTTGGTGTGAGGAAATTGCAGTCTTAGTGGTTTTTAAAGATAATACTTCTTGCGAAGTCTTTGAAAACCCCTCCCACCACAGATTGAACGGGTTACTCTGAATACGCGCTGTAATTACCTTGGGGGGTTGGGCCTGCAGGTGAGCATTAAATGGGATGCCTTGATGGGGAAAGTGGGAGGACTTGAGTATCCTGGGACTTGGAAGAGCTGGTGGGTGGCGTGGCTGTGGAGGACTGTGATAGGTTCCCGGGTTAGCACCTGTTTCCTGGTCTTCTGGTCCGGGGTCCTCTTCCTAAGCACCCTCTCCCGCAAGCACCCCTCAGCTCTTCCTTCCACCACTGCATCCTAGGAAAGCATCTCCCTCAGGTGTGAGCAACTGACTACCAATAAACGGTTCCTGGGGTTAAAATGGCCCCCGTCAGAGGCCTGGCCGTGCCGTGCGCTTTCCCTCCAGCCGGAGTCTGCATTTCCTAATGTGTGTTTAGGTCCTTGTGGAATGGACTCAGGACTTGTACGACGTGGTCTTGTAGCCCTTTGCCGCTTTCCTGCGTCTTGAGCTTCAGCCACATGACGTTCAGGTGAGTCGTGCTCAGGGAGAGAAAATGTGTTCCCTAATGCCTGGGCAGGCTCTCTCATGGTTTCTGCAGCTGGAAGCAGGCAGGGCAGTCGGGTGCCAGCCTGTTGTTGCGCTTGTATCGGGAGACACTGCTCCCAGTGGTTCCTGAACTTTCCAGCCCAGTCACACTGCCCTCCCCTGCTGAACTCCGCAGCTTGTCAGCATCTGCTGAAGGTGTAGGGGTAACTTATCATGGCAGTAACTTGAACCTGTTCTTACTGGGACATTAAGCCTCCATGAGCACCAGGTTTCATACCTTGTAGGCCTTTTTTCTGTTGCTTTCATGTCCTGGTGAATCTAATGATTATACCTCCTCCCATGTTTTTGACATACAGGTGTTCTAACTATTTATGGAACTATATAATAAAATAAAATAAAATATTTTTAAATGTAGAAAAAATGTGGTCCCTGAGGCCAGCATTGCTGCATGGTACGCTAGGCTGCCACCTGGGGTGCCAGCATTGCCTGTGGGCGCCAGTTGGAGTCCTGTGCCCACTAATGGCCTGGAAAAGCAGCTAACGATGGCCCAAGTGTTTGGTCCCTGCTCCCATGTGGGAGCTCTGGAGAAAGCTCCTGGCCTCAGCCTGGCCCTTCCCTGGCCATGGTAGCCATTTAAGGAGTAAACCAGCAAATGGAACATTTTTGCCTCTCTCTGACTTCCAAATAAATAAATCTTAATTTTTTCCCCTAATTCTAACAATTATAAAAATATTCTCGAGTGTTTTTTCTTGACTTTTATTTTCAGTTGTGTTTTAACTCACTTTAGAAAAAAGTATTCATTGGATAGGCAGGTTTTACAGAGAGATCATGATGGCCGGAACCAGGAACTTCTTCCAGGTCTCTTATGCAGGTACAGGGTCCTAAGGAAGGCTTTGGGCCATCTTCTACCTTCCCAGGCTGTAAGCAGGGAGCTGGGCGGGAAGTGGAGCAGCCAGGAGGTGAACTGTTGCCTACACGGGATCCTGACGAGTGGGAGTTGAGGATTCAGCCCCCGCGTCACGGCCCCTTATCCATCTGCTACTACCTGCTGTTATAATCTAGTACGTCATGATTTTTCCTTCTGTTTTTTTCTTTTTAAGATTTGTTTTTATTGGAAAGTCAGATATAAAGAAAGGAGGAGAGACAGAGAGGAAGATTTTTGTCTGCTGATTCACTCCCCAAGCAGCCGCAATGGCCGTAGCTGAGTTGATGTGAAGCCAGGAGCCTAGAGCTTCTCGAACGGGTCTCCCAAGCGAGTGCAGGGTCCCAAGGCTTTGGGCTATCTCTGCTTTCCCAGGCCACAAGCAGGGAGCTGGATGGGAAGCAGGGCCACTGGGAATAAAACAGGTACCCATATGAGATCCTGACGCTTGCAAGGTGAGGACTTCAGCCACTAGGCTACTGTGCTGGGCCTGCTTTTTTTTTCTTTTTAAGATTTATTGGCAAGAGAAAGCTCTTCTGCCCACATGTGGCTTGACTCACCAATTATCCAGAACAGCCGGTGCTAGTCTGGATCAAAGTTAGGCACTTGGAACTATCCAGGCCTCCCAGGTGAAACCCATGCACTTTGGCCATTTCACATTGCTTTCCCAGCACATTAGCAAGGAGCTGGATTGATTGTAGAGAAGTCAGGGATGCCAGGAGTCCTGGGCAGTAGCTTAACCCACTGTACACACATAATGCCAGCCCTTCTTCTCCAGGCCTTACCCTTTTTGTTGTAGTGCTGTCTCTTTTTGCCGACTAGATCTGTATGTTCAGATTATGCGTTTGAAACTAAGCGGTTGCAGCTGGCTTCAGATGTTATTGACTTCTTATTTCTGATTTCAAAGGGAATCATTTTTATGGTTTTGCCTTGAATGTGATGTTTACTAAGTTTTCTTTTCGCTGTAAGTACCTTTCATTCGGATGGTTAATTTCCCTACCTGTCCTACTTTGGCGAGGGATGTGTAGAAAAATTATGAATGGCTTTTTGAACTTCACATACGCTGCTTACCCCACTGGCCGATGGGATTAGATTTTAAAATTCTGTACATTTGGTATTTTTGGTATATTTTAGTATTGTTATACATATATTTCTGGAGTCTAACCATTCTTTCTTAAACTCTTCCTTTTGATGAATATTTTAAAATACACATGTTGATGAAAGTCTAACATTTTTTGTATCTGTTGACACAAGCGGGGGTACCCTGTGTCCTGCGTATTTGGGTCTGAGGTTAAGCTAATTATTTAGAAACAACCTTGGGAGTTGCATCGTGGCATAGTGCGGTATGCCTCTGCCTGTGGTGTCAGCATCCCATATGGGCACTGATTTATGTTCCGGCTGCTCCACTTCCAATCCAGCTTCCTGGGAAAACAGAGGAAGGTGGTGGGAAATCTGGAAGAAGCTCCTGGCTCCTGAATTCAGATTGGCGCGACATTCTATCAATTTGCCTTTCAAATAACAATAAATCTTAAAACAACAAATGATCTCAATGCACAGAAAAGCTGAAAGTGCAGTACAGCAGTTTGCTTCCTGAAGTGCTTGAGTTCGGTGGGCTGTGTGCTGGGTCTCCTGCGGGCTGCAGGCAGGCGGGTGGTCTTTGTGACTCACGTGGCCCAGCACTTGGAGTCTGGGGGCTCCCTGTAGAATACCCCCGAGCTGGGCTTACTGCCACCTGCTCCTCATCAGACTTGAACTGTGTCTTTGGCAGAAGTACCAGACACGCGTCTCTCATCCTTAAAACGCTTTTTTCTTTCTTTTAAAGTACAGAGGTTCAGCTTCAGCTTGAGTTTTTCTCTGCCCTCAACCTGGCACCTGGGAATTTGCCGTTTCTCCCAGGAGCTCTGATTCCTCTTGGAGGAGGATGGAGTTTAGGGGCACAGTTGCTGGGCTTGCTCCTGCCCACTGGGAGATCATTGCTTCCAGCCCGGTGGGTGACAGAGGCGACCAAGCTCTTTGTCATCACTGAAAGCAGGTCGCGTTGAAACCCAGCACTACAGTGCTTTTAATTTCGTCCTTTTTCCACATGTGGGCACTTAAACAGTTTGTGAAAAGTGGACCTAAACTTTATTTTGGCATGCCAAAAAAAAATTAAAATCCATACATAGCTTTTTAAAAAATAATATGCCTTGTATGAACTTCATTATCGAGTAGTATGTTACAAGCAGTTCAAGGCTGGTTGAGGTAGGAGTGCCGGTGTCGGCCCGAGGTCCGGCGGAACTCGCCCACATGGCTCTCCACATCGGCGGGGCAGTGCTCGGCTCCAGCGGACAGAGCTCGTCCATCAACAGTCACTTTGTCCTTCCTTTGGTTCTCTTCCACGCGCAGAGTTTGAAAGTAACAAGAGAAAGGCCCCAGGGACCAGCAGAATACATGAGGCGAGATACTGGTCGATTTTTTAAAATATTTATTTAACCAATACTCTTGGCAGTCTGACCATGCCAATAAATAATCTTAAAAATTATTCTTGAGTACAGAAAGTATGTTGTTTGATTGCTTTTGATCTGATTATTAACCAAAGTGTAGTAATGATCACACAGATTAAGCTTATTTTTTTTAATTTATTTTTATTGGAAAGGTAAATCAGATTTGTGGATACAAGGAAATACAGAAAGAAAGATCTTCATCTGCTGGTTCATTCACAAATGGCCACAGCAGCCGGAGCTGAGCTGATGTGAAGCCAGGAGCCAAGAGCTTGCTCTGTGTCTCCCATGCAGGTGCAGGCTCCCAAGGCTTTGGGCCATCCTTGACTGCTTCCCCAGGCCACAAGCAGGGAGCTGGATGGGAAGTGAAGCAGCTGGGATATGAACCAGCGCCCATATGTGATTCCAGCACTTGCAAGGGGAGGATTTAGCCATTGAGCCATGGTGCCAGGTCCCTGAAGTATTTTGTAAATCCAGCACCAAAGTAACTTAAAATCTGTAGAATGAACAGAAAAAAAGTCAAATTGTTCCTTGGGGTGAGCAAACAGCTGATGAAGGGAAGTCTCCATAGACGGTCTCCCACTGAGGAAGAAACGCGAGTTAGACTGGTGCTGTTTTGGAAATGCTCATCCCTTAGTTGATCTTAATCATCAATGATGGCTGACATCCGGAGAGAAACCAATCACCTTTTCCTGTACGTTTGTTCAGACATCTGGATCCGACCACACCAGTGACAAGCACCAGCAGGCAGAAGCATCCAGACGCAGGAAGGTTAGGCTGGAGAAGTGAGCTGGTTCCACCAGAGATTCCTTGGGAATCCCATGGCTCAAGATTCCTAACAAATATTTATAGTATGGGCCTTCCTGGTGTTCTGTGTGACTGAGTCAGAGTGCAAAAGAAATGAGGCTGTTGAAGGGATGTGAATATTTCATAGTTAAGTATTTGTAGTATTTGCAAGGCTGCGAGGCAGAGGGGGAGGTCGTTCTTGGTCTGATGCACTCCCTGGACAGCTGCTGGGAGCTGCGTAGGAGCCAGGCTGGTGCTGAGGCCTGGCAGTCAGTCCTGGCTGCCCCCCGGGTGGCAGAGAGCAGCCAGGTGAGCCATTGCCTGCTGCCTCCAGGGCATTCAGCAGGAAGCTGGGACTTAAGAACGGAGCGAGGCCTGAATCTAGGCCGGCCAAAGTGCTACTAACCCATTGGTGAAACACCACCTTGGATAGTAAATGGCATTAGTACATTCTTTTTTTTAAAGATTTATTTTATTTTATTAGTCAAATATACAGAGAGGAGGACAGAGAGGAAGATCTTCCGTCCAATGATTCACTTCCCAAGTGGCCGCAATGGCTGGAACTGCGCCAATCCAAAGCCAGGATCCTGGGGCCTCTTCCGTGTCTCCCACACGGATGCAGGGTCCCGAGGTCTTGGGCCATTCTTAACTGCTTTCCCAGGCTGCAAGCAGAGAGATGGATGGGAAGTGGGGCTGCTGGGACATGAACCGGTGCCCAGAATGGGACTCTAGCCATTGGGCTACTGCACTGGGCCCCATCAACACATTCTTAATTACCACAGATGTTCTGACAGTATTTTGTTACATTGAAACATGTAAGGATGTGGTGGTTATATCTGGTATTTGCTGCAAGATCGCATGTATGGGAGGAACCATCAATGAGGCTGAATTGGCCTTAAATTATTCATCAGTTGTTGAGCTGGGTGATGAGTTGGAGGGTTTTCTGTGTGTTATTTCTCTGCCTTGGTGCGGGTATAAGCACTGTCCTCATGAAAATAAGACTTTTTAATAGATGCAGTTCCAGTGTTCTTTAACAATGTATCACTTGTTACTGTGGGAATTATACAGTGCACAGTGTCCTTCCATTTGGCTTCTGAAATGTTGGAATAGGTTTGGATACAGTCATGCTAGCAGGCTTTTTTGTTCAGATTCCAATTTTTATATTTAGGAGATAAATGAACCTGGAATTTTGAATAACACTGTCTTCCTTTAAAACGTGGAAGTGCGAGTCACGTGATTGGCTGATGGAGGGAAAGCCAGGCGGTTTCCCGGCGAGCCTCTCCCCGTGAGTGACCAATGTCTGCTTTGCTTCGTTTCCAGATCACCTTTTTCATGCTGCTCTCTGCTGTGTGCGTGATGCTGAATCTGGCTGGCTCCATCCTCTCCTGTCAGAACGCCCAGCTGGTGGACTCCCTGGCAGGCTGCCAGTTGGTGAGTGATGCGATGCAGTTCTTCTGTAAAGGTCACGGGCTCCAAGGGAGATGCGAGCAGGAGGAGGATTGGTGCAGTGAACTCTTGGATTCTCGAGAAAACTCCACGGATGCTGCTGTTTGCTGATTCGTTAAGGAATGTCGGGGCTGTTGTTTTATTCTCTAAGTTTGCCCGTGATTGTTTCACTTGTAAATCAATTATCAACAGGAAATTTTGAAGGCTCATGGACTCCTGCTAGCTTAGAATAAATGACTTCAGTAAGTGTTAGGTTTTAGCCTCGATTGCACTGTTACTTGCACTGAATTTTTAAAAAGTCAATTTTTTAAATCAAGTAAAAGCACCACATGCATATAAGCTTCATGTGTGCACCAAAGTAATGCAGTTTCATATTGTGTAATTGGGAGGAGTTTTCCTTCCATCATTGAAGGATTCTGCGGCTTCTGGTGCCACACTGTGTGCTGAAGGGCTTACCCTGGCATCGAGCTGTGGGTCTCATTTCATATCCGAGGGGACCCAGGCTGTTGGTGTTGGGGCGTTGGGGCGTTTTCACCTTGGAGCCGACCCTGGGCTGCCAACCCTGGGCTCCCTTTCAGAGGCATGTTCCTCCACGGATGCCCATCTGCTTGCTCTGCCTGTAGCTGTCACTGTGAGGATTAGAACTAAATTTCTAGATGTGGTTCTGCAGCAAGGCCGTGCCCTCTGCTGCTGTTTGGACTCCAAGGGGGCATTTAGCTGCAAAGACCTGCAGGAGTAGTGTAAGTTGGTGCAGTCTCAATGTGGAAGCAACTGTTGCGTTACAAAAAACTGCTTTTGGGAGCTCAGTCTTATTCTTTTCTGTTGAGTGGGCCTGGAGAATGTGGTCGTATTTTAGCTCAGTATGGCATGCGCAGGAGTGTCCTCAGCAGCAGCTTTCTTTGTTAGTGTGGAGAACTGCCACGCCCCAAGTTTCTGCAACAGGCAGTTGCACTGGGCAGAAGCCAGCAGCCAGGAGCTCCATCCGGGTCTACCACCCAGACGGTAGGGAGCCAAGTACTTGGCCCATCATTGGCTGCCTTCCAGACAGAAGCATGGAGGAGCTGGGACTCCAACCAGACACTCCAGTATGGGATGTTGGTGTCCCAAATGATGACTCAACCTGTTGTTCTGCAGTACCTGTTCCAGGAACTCTTCTATTCTTCCAGACTCCTCCTATACACAGTACCCTTCTTCCAGAAAGAGCTATAACCTTTCAAGGCATCTCCAGTGTGGGTCATTTTTGCACCCACTGGCCCCTGATCTGTAACACCTTTTTTTCCATAGATCTTTGTCATCCAGTCATGGCGCCTCTACTGCTTCCCATCTGTGCTTGCAGATTTTCCTGGCTGTTAAACAGAGAGCAGCGGTGTGGCCCACTAGCTGGGTGTGTGGCAACATAGCTTCACTGTGTGAAGCTCAGCGTGGACAGGTTTCTGGTTTTTTCCTAAAAGGAAGGAAGTGGAGCATATCAGCCATCATGCACATTTACAACTCGGCCTTTCCCGCTGCTGGGGGACAGAGTAGAGAACATGACAGCCGTGTGCAGCTAGAGCTGGAGCAGAAATGGCCTTGTGGTCGGAGCCAACCAGTGCATGTGGCTTTGAGAATGCTCTCGCTGAATTGTTCTCCTAACTGGGGTGTTGTTCTATACTTCGCCAGCGGTGTGTGGGGCCTGTGTGAACTCATACGTGTATCCAGAAATTCGTGTTCTGTTTCTAGCAGTCTGAGAAAAGATCTCAGGGTGTGGCTTTCACGCCTTCAACCAAAAGTAAAGTTGAGCATTTTTAGGTTTGTTTATGAGTTGCTTATGTGGCAGCTGCCAGTTTGCTTTTAAAGATTTTCATCTATTTTTTTAAAAGGCCAAAATAGGGAGAAGAGAGAAACAGAATCTTCCATCTGTTTGTTCACTCCCCAATGATCACAATGGCCGGAGCTGGGCCATACTGAAGCCAGGGAAACCTCTTTCAAGTCTCCCGCATGGGTGCAGGGGCCCACGCACCTAGGCCATCGTCCACTGCTTGCCCAGGTCCACAAGCAGGGAGCCAGGTTGGAAATGGAGGAGCCGGGACTCAAGCCATTGCCCACGTGGTATGGCAGCACTTCAGATGCAGGCTCAGTGTGCTGTGCTACAACACTGACTCCTGCCAGTTTATTGAAGATCCTTGTTACTTTTGCAGTGTAGTAACTATGTAAATGTACTTTGGGTTCAGGGAGCCTGGCCATTGCTACATGTGTTAAAATGTATTCTTTCTGTGTGGAAACTTCATAGATTGAGTCTATTCGTGTGTGTGTATTTTGAGCCTATGGGTTCTTGGTTATGTGGTTTACCTAGGGAAAGCTTTCCCAGTTTACTTTCTCTATAGTAAGTTTCAGTTTATGTTACATACAATTTATTTTGCCATGAACATCATTTCACTCTTGGAGCTTTTAAAAATGTATGGGAGGCACGTGCTGGCCTAGCTGCTGTGGCCCTGCTTGGGACTCTCCCATCCCATAGTGCAGCGCCTGAGTTCCAGTCCTGGTTCTGATCTGATTGCAGCACGGGTCTGCCCCTGAGCTTCCCATGAGGCACAAGGCGATGGCCTCAGCAGCCAGGTACATGCTTGCACGTGGGAGACCTGGAGTGAATTCCTGGTCACCAGTTTCAGCCTGGTCCAGCCCTAGGTGTTGCAGGCACTTGGGAATGGAGTCAATGGGTGGGAGATCTTTCTTTGTCTCTCTTTGCTTTATAAACAAAGACTTTTTTTTTAATGGCCATGTTGGGGGAGAGGGTGGAACAGTGTAATGGCTCAACTGGCTAATTCTCCGCCTGCAAGCACGGGCATTCCACATGGGCGCTGGTTCATATCCCAACTGCTCCATTTCTGATAAGCTCCCTGCTTATGGCCTGGGAAAGCAGAGGAGGATGGCCCAAAGCCTTGGGACTCTGTATCTGTGTGGGAGACCTGGAAGAAGCTCCTGGCTTCTAACTCCTGCCTTTGGATTGTCTCAGCTCTGGCCATTGCGGCCATTTGGGAAGTGAATCAGCAAATGGAAGATCTTTCTGACTGTCTCTCCTTCTCTTCGTAAATCTGCTTTTCCAATAAAAATAAGCTTAAAAACAAACATATGACATTCCATATTTATTTTTTAGTGCCAGGTCTTTTAAATGTTGTTTAGCTCTAACAGGTAAATTATTTTATGTTGTAAGGGTTGCTAGAAGTATGTAAGACTTCTGGTAACTTTTTATTAGGTTTAATCTCACATGAAGATACATATATTAAATTGAATCTTGGATTCCAGTTTATCAGAAGAAATGATTCTATTATCTCCTGCTTTTCAATATTTGTGTCTCTTGTCAGTTTGTTCCTCTGTCTAGTTGCTTCGGCTAAAACTGCTGAAATGACATTACGTAGTGGCATTTCATCCTGCACTTCCCGCACCTGGTTGAGTCAGAAGCTCTCCCTGACCAGCTGCCAAGTCCCAGGCTTAGTGGGGGTATCTGACTCACAGGGCTGCACAGAGGCACTCGAGGGGAGCAGGGGAAACAGGTGTAGCACTGTCACGGGGCTGGGAAGCCCACTCAGACCGTGGCCTCTGAGTCCTACTAGCTGCTGAGCCCGTGGGCACACACACATGGCTTCCTGGGTCCAGACCCACCCTGCCAGGCAGCCGAGGCCAGCTTGGCCTCCCACTGTGACCTTGGCTCCACAGTCTGCAGGGAACGAGGCAGTGATGCCGAAGGCAGACCTGCGAGACTCTTCAGCCCTGGGCAGTTGTGCCAGGAGCCAGGCCTCATGCTTTCTGGGAACAGGGACGACAGACCGTATTGACTCATGCCTGTGCGGTGCTCCTGAGGCTGACCCCGCGGGCTCCTGAAGGCTCTGGCCGCTCCCTAGAGATGTTCTGTTCTGCTCAAGGCACGTCCTGGTGCCCTGGCTTTCTAAGGGTTTGTTTTTTATTTTAATCAGAATGCACATCTGTGAGGCGGGCCCTGCGGCTCTCCTTTAGCTATTAATGGAGTGATTTACATTAATAGGGGTTCCTAGCCGGGAGTCACCTTGGCAGTGCCAGGGAAGGCGCTCCCCGGCCGTGGGGTGGCTAAGGTTACACCCGTCACGCTGCAATGGCTTTGCCAATGTTTGATTGAGTTGTGCATCTGAGGTCAGAAAAGGGCTTGGCCTGCAGTTTGCCTTTCAGTGCTGCTCTGAGTGTTTGGTTTAACCATGCTCTGAAACTGTAGGACCTTGGGATCATCCAGGTGCATTTAGCATTTCACAGGCTCGCGTGATTGCGTCTCATCTTGTTCCCCCACAGTCTTCGTGGTGTTTGTGTTGTTGGTTTCCTGGGTAGTTTTTTTTTTTTATTAACAGATGTCTTTCTTTTTTTTAAATTTAGATTTACTTATTTTTATTGGAAAGTCAGATTTACAGAGAGAAGGAGAGATAGAAAAGAGCTAGTTCACTCCGCAAGTGGCTGAAACGGCGGAGCTGAGATGACTCAAAGCCAGGAGCCAGGAACTTCTTCAGGGTCTCCCATGCGAGTGCAGGGTCCCAAGGTTTTGGGCTGTCCTCGACTGCTTTCCCGGACACAAGCAGGGAGCTGGATGGGGAGTGGAGCAGTCAGGACATGAACCGGTCCCCATATGGGATCCCAGCGTATACAAAGTAAGGAGTTTAGCCACTAGACTACAACGCTGGGCCCAATAAATGGTTTTTTTTTTTTAAATATGATCTGTGATATACCAAACCTTAGTGAAATCTGCTGATTGTATGATATTTGAATTATGTCTATCTAAAGCTGCTAAATTAAAAAAAAAAAAGGAAAAGAAAAAGAAAAACTTCTAAATTGACTGAAAAGTCTTCCTGCTTTGTAATGCTGAAGTTTATCTTTTCTTTAAATTGTTTTCCCCCAAAGTCATGGCTGTTAGTTAGATTGTTTGTTGTTGTTCAAGATTTGTTTATTTGAAAGACAGGGTTAGGGAGAGAATTTCCACCTGCTGTTCACTCCCCAAGTGGCCGCAATAGACAGGTCTTGGCCAGGCTGAAGCCAGGAGCCAGGAACTTGGGTCATCCGGCCGATGCCACTTGTGTCACCATGCACTGCTCTTTTCAGGCCATTGACAGGGAGCTGGATTGCAAGTGGAGCAACAGTGACTCAGACGGGCATGGCCATGGGCTGCCAGTCTTATTTAATGAAATTATTCTTTTAGGAGTCTTTATTTCCTTTTCTATGCTTCCATTAGTATTTTCTACCCTCTGAAGGCATATTATTTTGTTCTCCCATTATACTTGCTGACAGTACTAACACTGTAGTTTTTCCTGTGTGTACTACTGCCATGAGGAGTACTTCAGAATGGTTATGAAAACAGAAGTCACAGATGAGTTTGTGGGTCTGCCGGAGGAATTTAAATCCAGGCAGTCTTACAGTGACCTCAGAATGCACGCTAGTTGGTAGATTTCATTTTGCCTTTTTTTTTTTTTTTCAGGATGTGTCTATTTTCATTTGAAAGGCAGATTTTTACAAAGAGAATGAGAGACAAAGGTTTTCCGTTTGGTGGTTCACTCCACATGTGGCTGCAACAGCTGGAGCTAAGTGGATTCAAACCCAGGATCTAGGAGATTCTTTCTGGGTCTCCCACGTGGGTGCAGGGTCCCTAGCCTTTGGGCCATCCTCTGCATTCCCAGGCTACAGGCGGGGAGCTGCGTCAGAGGCGCAGCAGCTGGGACTTGAACTGGTGCCCGTATGGGATGCCAGCGCTGTAGGCAGAGGATTAGTCTGTTTTGCCACCATGTCAGCCCCTTCATTTTACTTTGGTTTTTTAATGCCCCCCGCCCCCACCCCGGGTGACTGAAATTGATGTTCCTTGGTGTCTCAACTTTTTGTTCTTTTACTAACCTTTGAATTTCTCATTTATTTTATTTTATTTTTATTTCATAGCCTTCATTGTTATTGTTATCATTTTATGATACAGTTCCATAGGCCGTGGGATTTCCCATACCCCCCCTCCGCTATATCATTGCTATAGTATAGTTCTTCATACACAGTCATATGTCCATCATTGCAGGCATGGACAATGGCAGAGAGTCCAGCTTCTTATTGTCAAGATACAGTAAACAATTTCTTTGGGAGTCCATATTTGCCTAGAAGTCTCCATTACACAGTTACTATACATCCCCTTAAATGAAAAGCCACAAAACAAAATCAACAACAGAAAGAAGAAATTACCAATACCATGAAGTTAAATAACATGCTACCGAATGACTAATGTGTTGCTGAAGAAATGAAAATCAAGAACCTTCTTGAAGAAAATGATGCTACTGTGTGATCTATTTGAAGAGATGAAACTTAAATAAAATCCATGAGATACAGTTTCCGCTGATGTTTGTTGGTAAGATATGTCTCCTGTAGGCAACAAATAGATGGGTTTGGGTTTTTTTAAAATCCAGTTCACTATTCTATGACATTTGATTGATGAGTTTAAGCAGACAGAAGAAATAAAACTAAAGTTCAAAACATCAAAATCTGTGAGATGTAGTTTCTGCTGGTCTTTTTTGATGAGATGTGTCTCCTGTAGGCAGCAGATAGATGGATTTTATTTTTTTAGTTTGGTATAATGATCTATGACATTTGACTGAGTTTAAGCCATTTACATTCAGGGTTAATATAAATAGGTGGTATTTTGGTCCTGTCATTTAGTAACGGGTTGGTCATTGATTTAGTCTTCTGTTATTTTGCTGGGATGTTCTTCACATATGCCTTTGGTTTTAGTGGGTGCTATTTATTCCTTCTCTCTGTGAAGCAAACATCTCGAAGTATCATTTTAGGGAAGGTTTGGAAGAGGCTTTTTTTTGAAGATTTATTTATTATTTTTATTGGAAAGACACATAGAGGAGGAGAGACTGAGAGGAAGATCTGGAGCTGAACCTATCCGGAGCCAGGAGCTTCTTTTGGGTCTGCCATGTGGGTGCAGGGTCCCAAGGCTTTGGGCCATCCTGGGCTGCTTTCCCAGGCCTCAAGCAGGGAGCTGAATGGGAGGCGGGGATGCCAGGATTAGAACTGGAGCCCATATGAGATCCAGGCGCATTCAAGGTGAACCACTACACTACACTATTGCGCCGGGCCCAAGAAGTATATTCTTTTAATTTTCTTTATTGTGGAAGACTTTTATTTCATTTTTAAAGAAAAAGGAAAACTTTGTTAGATATATTACTCTGGACTGACAATTTTTTTGCTTTTAGAATCTGGAATATGTCACTCCATTCTCTTCTTGCCTATAGAGTTTCCTGTGAGAGGTTTCCTGTGAGTTTAATTGGCAATTCCTTTATATGTCAATTAATTTTTTCCACATGCACATTTAAGGATCTTTCCCTTATGCTTGATTAAAGAGAGCTTGATG